CAGGCTCCCGACTCCACGTGCTCCGGGGAGAAGGTGCCAAAAGAGGTCAGCGAGGCTGCCGTCCGAGAAAGCTGCCTCGTGCCAGGGACGTCGGCGGGGCAGCAAAAGAAACTGGCATGGGATCGGGCTGCAGAAGCCGTCCCCGGGCGCCGTCGGTTGCGGAGAAGGCTGGGAGAGCGCGCCCTCCAGTCCTAGATCATAATCCTGGGCTAATCAGGAAAGGCCAGGGGGCGGGAGGGGGGAACGATGCCCCGCGTTGATCAACCGCTCTAGGCTACCTGGGTCTCGAACCCCGGCCTGTCTCTCGAACTGCCCCACCCGTGTGTGTGGGTTGGGGTGTCCCTGGCTCGCTCGCGTGCCGGCTCTCTGGGCTCTGGCGGGCAGGGAGGGGAAGCTCAGCTGGTTGAAGTTTAACCACCACCTCCTGGGGCCCTATTGTTCGGCCAGAGGCCCGATATTTCCACAGCGGCTCGTAGGATCTGATTAACCGGCTGAGACAACAATGCCGCCTGGGCCGGGCTTCCCCTCGCAGCTGCCAGCGGGCAAAGTCAACACACGGCCCGGGAGCGCAGTCCCGGAGGAGCCAGAGGGCTTCGTGGGAGTCGAGCCTTTAGCCCTGGACCTGTTTCGGTGCCAGAATTCAGCTCGGGAACGCGGGTACAGCCACAGGAAGGAAGAGAATGGACCCTGAGCATGTGCAAAGTTATTTTCCCTGCGGCAGAAGCCCCGGCCCAGGCAGAATGCAAGGCACTTCCCTTTCCTAGAAATGGCCAAGCTGCACCTTCCTCTCCTCATCCCGGAGGTTTCTACCAGATTAAATGCTGTCCTTCCTTCCTCTTTACTAAATCCTGAGCCTCTTAATGAGGGGAAGGGAAGCTTATGGGAGGTGCCCCTTTTCCCAATCTGCCTGTCTTTGCTTCTTTGCCCTATCATAATCCCAGGAGAGTCTCTCGAGGAGGCCCGCAAGGACCAAACTTCTCCACCTTGGGATCGCCAGCTGTGTGCAACCAGGAGCCATCCAAGGGGCGCCTGTCCAAGGCACCTGAAAAGTTTCAGGGAAGGGAAATGATGAGCCGTTTGGGAGGAAGTTTCTTTCCAGCGGGAGCAGCAAGGCCACCCTTTTTGTAGCCCATCAGCATCAGAGCCTGAAGCCTAAGAGTAACCAGTTGCCCTTGGTCTCTGCTGAAGAGATGGCGAGGAAGGTGGCAGAAGAGACCAGTGAAATCTGAGTCTGCATGTAGGGCCAAGGTTTCAATGCGCTGGAGATGTGTGTTCTTAAGGGTCATACTTCAGCCAGCAGGAAGCTTCTACTGTTAAGGCACTCCGTTGTCAGTGGGATTCAGTCCCTTCTTGGCGCCCTCCCCATTCACCTAGCTCGAGGAAAAGAAGTTCATGTTGCCAGTCAAGCCGAGAGATCCGCACCAAAACTGGAAGGGGGAAGAGACTGTTCATCCTCGAGGCTGCAAGTTTTCCATCTGGAGAGCCCCTTTTCCGCAGTGGCAACTGGATTAGGCCATACCTGAGGTCCTTATCCCAAAGACTGGCGCCCAGAAGGGGACCTAAAAGCCAGTCAATTGCAGATCAAAAAAAGAGAGGAAAAGGAAACAACCAGGAGACATGTGGAACTCTGGGACAGAGAAAAAGCTTTAGCTCTGTCCAGGATCTGCAAACAATCCCCTGGGATTTTTCCTTGCTCGCATCCGGTGGAGATAGCGGTGGCACAACAGCCCACTTTCTTTTCCTTAGCTATCTAGGCACAAGGCCTGGATCGTCTTTTCTCTCCAGAACTGGGCCCTGAGCATAAGCTACTGCATCCACAACTTCGGGAAGGCAAACTGAGGGGACCTTGGCTTGGTGGGGAAAAGTTGAACTGCAGGTAAACTGGGAAGCCAAGCCAGACAGTTACCCTCAAGAAATCTCTGCTGTTCTAATACCTCATCATCGGCCAAGGTACTTCAAGCCAGGGTTCTCTATGCGGTGCCTTCTAACTCTACTGTCATTCCTATCATTCCCAGCCAGACACACATCTGGAGGGCACCAGATATGGAGAGGCTGTTCCCAGTTATGTAAAAATGCTTCTAGCCATTCTAAGTGTCCTGCAGGTTTTGTCCCCAATTCAAACTTCCTCAGGGGTAACACATATTGAAACTGCAATTCCCCAAAAGTAAACCAAGGAAATGTTTATTCAAAATAAAGGAAAATACTACTTTCACATCATGACCCTGGATTTCCAACCTGGCAGTGGTTACAGTGTACCCACAGATCTGTACCCACTGCTCTCTGCCCTTTCTGGATTTTTTCCTGTGGTGGTGGTGGTGGTGTATTCATAATTGCCGTCTGGTTCCTGGTAATTTTTGGTGGCCATGTCCACCATGGCATTCATTTTGTGACAGTGCCCATCATATCCTTTCAAAGTTCCAATTCTGGCCCCCCAAAGAGTGGGGCCCTGTCTTAATCCAATCCTTTGGGGAAACTTTGCTATGTCCCTGAAGTTTGACACGGGGGTTCAAGAGCCACGGCTTTGGATGGAGGGGCTCTCTCTGGTTCTGATGTGAATCAACAGCCGTGCTTGGCAACAAGACAAGATGCGGGCTGACGCCCTGACCTGGCCCACCTAAAGGCCGTCTCCAAAGGCCGCTTCCAGCGAACATGCAGTCCAGGGGGCGCTATTTCCTTATTTTTCAACCCAGCATTTCTCGGCCAGAAGACTGGAAGGCCGGATTTGGAAGAGGCTCAACCTCGTGCTTTAGGCTCAGTATCCACGCGGTCCCGTCTGGGGCTGGCTGGTAACGCTCGTGTGCGCACGCGACAGTCTAGCTGTCAACCGATAAGCATCCCTGGTGCCTCCAGGGTGCCGCTTGGGCGTCAAATCCAGTAGGAACCCTTACTCGAAGGCAATAAAGAATTTACTGTACTTCTTGCCGCCCCGCCCCAGATCGCGGGTAAGCCTAGGTCGGGGGAGGATAAACCATGCCCGCTATGACTTAGAAGACAGATCAGGTCTCTCTGTGTAAAATCTTTGGAGACGCTGCAAGCAGATTACTCGCAAGCTGATTATACGGAAGCTCGACTTTCTAAATAAAAGAGAAAACAAATGATACCTGAACTCACGCGCGCACGCTTGCAGAGCTCGGCGGCGCGGAGTTTGCGGAACAGGAGTGACGCAATAAGACTGGCAGGGCGCCTGAGCTACCTTCCCCGCATGCTGGCCTAGAGCCCCGCCCCGTTTCCCGGGGCACGAAGAGATTAGGCGACCCCTAGTGAAGCGGGTTTAGAGCAGCTTTCTCCAACAGGGTGCCCACCAGATGTTTTGGATTCCAAGTCTCGTCACCGCCGATCGTGTTGACGAGAGATGGCCATGGTAGTCTGGAGAACGCGATGTTTGGTGAAAACTGGCTTTTTGCTAAAGGAAGCGTGTTGGTTTTTAAGGTAAAGCACGAGAGAAAGAGAACGACATTCTGGGTTCCAAGTCCAGTAAATGATTTCTGGAATTCATTGGAATTCACATGGCCCATCGCCCTGAATGTAGGCACAAGGCAGGGTCAGCAGATACAGAGGCTGCAAAGTTGGCAAGAACTAAGCGCGAGGGGAAGAATTGGTGGGAATGGATTGGGACATCAACCAAGGAAGGGCAGTTGGAAGGAAAACTTGTGAAGAAGGATGGGAAGGGTATGTTTAGTCTGTCAAAGAGTGGGCTGCCGAGAGCCGCTGAGAGGCACCACTGCTGTTTTCAGGTATCTGAAGGATTAGCATGTAAAACATGGGGTGGAATTATTCAGAGTTCTTTCAGAAGGCAGGCCAAGAACCAGGTTTAAATTGCAAGGAAAGAGATTTCAGTTGGACATCAGGAAAACTTTCCTGGTGGTAAGAGCAGTTCAACAACAGAACAAGCTTCCTTAGGAGATGGTGGGCCTTTTTTATTGAAGATGTTTAAAAATATCAGAAGTTGTGGAACTGTGTGGGACATTGTAGTAATAGATTCCTGCCCTGGGCAGGGGGGTTGGACTAGATCAGGGGTTTGCACACTTTTTCAAGCTGTAGAACCTGTTCATGAAACAAAAAACAAATCCTGGCAGCCCTGATCAAGAGGCAAAGCTCTGCTGCTAGAAAACTGGCAAATGAAACCTATGCTCACAATTTATTTATGCAAACACAAATGATGTTAGTGTGTAACCCGAAATAGACGAAAGTGGATGCCCCACATCCTCCCAGAAAGTTCGTCCACTTATTGTAAGTATAAAAAGTAAACTTTTAATTGTACATGTAAAATTAATGTTTCCAATGTACAAAAATTAAAAGCTGAATTTCACAATTCATTGGGCAGTTAATGTTTTAACCAAACAAATCAATGTTCAAGGACTGGGATGTGATTGCTTTTCCTTAGAAAAAATTGACATAGATGCCCCTGGCTTCTAGTCCTCCCACTCCCCCCCCCCAATTATTATTTTTTTCCCCTCCATAGAACACACAGAGTTTGGA